AAATTCAGAAGATCTAACCTATTTTTATTTTGAAATAATTTAATCTTAAAGCAAGTAAGAACCCTTTAGGGGAAAAACATTTCTGCCAACACCAACTGAAAAACAAATTAGCACCTTTCAGTGATTTGACAACTCAAGGCCACTAGGTCTTAATATGTCCTGTGGTTTTCTAAAACTAAAGTCAACTCCAGAGTTGGTTGATCCCCTCTACTGATGAAATAAAACCAAAAGAAAGGGCACCATGTTGTAAAAGAGCAGGTACATAAAATGGTTYCAGAGAATCACAAACAAAAGGTCATAAGAACAATAGTACAGGTTGAGCAGTCCTTATCTAAAATTCTTGGGACCAGAAATGTTACAGATTTTAGATTTTTTTAAAATTTTGGAATATTTGCATTTACATAAGGAGATAGATTGGGAATGGGACTCAGGTTTAAACATGAGATTCATTTATGTTTCATGTATACCTTCTCTCCATAGCCTGAAGGTAATTTCATACAATATTTTAAATTTTGTGCATGAAACACAAGTTTTACACAGTTAAGAAATTTTCCATGTGTGATGTCATATTGGGGCTTATGAAGTTATTATGGATACTAGAACATTTCAGATTTTGGATTTTTAGATTAGGGATGTTCAACTTGTGGAACTTAAATAGGGTGAACTTAAATAGGCTCTGAATAGAACGCCAAGGATGCAGAGTCCAAGTAAGACGTTATGCTATTTATTCCCACCCTGACTGAGGTCCCTCTTGCCTACGACACTTACCCAGTCTTCAAGGACCTGGCATAGCCACATTCTGCTTCAGAATGTAATTCTAAATACTTGAGGACAGGGTCAGTATCCTCCCACTCCTTTTGCATACTCGCTCAGCAACCTCTATCATTGAATTGGCATAATGTAAGCATTTCCTTGAGAAATTCAGGAAGAATTCCAACTTGTTTTCATATGGTTAAAAAGAAGAGAAAAGCCAGGTGCAGTGGTGCATGTCTGTAATCCCAGGGACTCACAGGCTGAAGCAGGAGGATCACGAGTTCAAAGTCAGCCTCAGCAAAAACAAGGCACTAAGCAACTCAGTGAGACTCTGTCTCTAAATAAAATATAAAAAAGGGCTGGGGATGTGGCTCAGTGGTTAAGAGCCCTTGGGTTCAATCTCTAGTACCCCCCCAAAGGGGGGGAAAGAAAAAAAAWTCACTAACCAAAAAATGAATGAAAAAATAACCCATCACGAATCAACATGTCTGAAAACACAATTTTGAGTGACCTGAAAATAAAGACAAATAGATAATTATTAAAAGGCTAATTTTGTGCCATCACACACAAAAATTCTACAGATAAATTAACTGAATCATGCAAGGGCTCACCCCAAACTAGAAAGCCTCTGACTTAAAAAAAAAAAAAAAAAAAAAAGCTTGATTTATAAGACTAGAGTTGACAGAGAAGTTTTATGAATTCAAACCCATTTTATTAGAAATTAAAGCATTTTCAAATCCTATGTCCTCTCCTAAAGGGGAAAAATATGTAGGTTTTCCTTTAAACAGGATATATAAAGGATATATGCAACAAKTTAGTATACAGACTCATTTCTGGTACCAAATACCTAGAGTGGCACATGTGAAAAATCATAGTCCTGAAAAGAATTCCCTTTATGTTCCAAGTCACTGTACATGTGTGTTTATGGTTATGGATTTTTTAGTGGTGCTCCAGCAGTGAGCTGCATGCCCTGACATTCTTTTTATTTTTTATTTTTTTGGTACCAGGGCGTTTAACTACTGAGCCACATCCCTGACCCTTTTTATTTTTTATTTCAAGACAGGGTCTCACTAGGTTGCTTACAGCCTTGCTAAGTTGCTGAGGCTGGATTGAATTTGCAATTCTCTTGCCTCAGCCTCCCAGGCTACTGGGACTCCAGGCAAGCACCACCACACCTGGCCCTGTCCTTCTTATTTTGTTTTGAGACAGGGTCTTGCTAAGTTGCTGAGGCTGGCCTTCAATTTGCTATCTTCTGCCTCAGTCTCCTGAGACACTGGGATTATAGGCATGAGCCACCATCCTAATTTCAACAAGCATTTCTAGAGTGGTCCCTAAGTGTCCGGTAATCTGTTCAAGCATACAAAGATGAACAGGGCAGTGCTTGTCCTGAGATGCTCATGACCTGATTAGAGTTTTGGGGCAGACCTGAGCCATGGTCCTCAGCAYAAGCCTCTTAGAGGAGCCTAGGAAGGCAAAGTGATCCAGCTGTTTAGATCTTGAAGTCTAACACCTAAGGGGCTTTCCTCACACATGCCACATGTACCTCTAACCCAATACACCCCAAACTGAGTTCCAGGCTTCCATCTAAAATCTTGCGTCTCTACCATAGCTCAGAGGATGGTTAGTGTCATCACTTCTATCTTCACTAAAAATATCCATTTCCACTTTCCCTCTCCTTCCCTTTCCCCAACAGCTTCATCAYAGTTACCATGTGATGTCAGGTGTCTCTCTGATGTTTCTGGAGCCATTCCCATTCCTGGCGTTTCAGTACCAAGGTACTTGAACAGAAATGTCTTGCTGGGCTATAGCAGCAGTGGCTGAACTGGTTTCCTGCTTCCAGCCTCTCCCTGTCTAACACCCGCCACACCTGCCCCTACTATGTTCCCTAGAAAGAGACCAGACTCTGCCCTCCTCCTACCTCCAGGCTCCTTAAAGGAGACCTTTCTCATTCTGGTCTCACCTATCTTCCCACCCTCATCCCCTGTCTATGCTCTGATCTCTAGGAACTGCTGCCTGGATTCCCTGAAAACACCACTTATATCCAAGCCTCAGCCCTATTGCTCAGGAGTCCCCTTTACTTAGAACAGTCATTCCTTTCTCTGCTGGAGAGCAGATGTTCTGTCTGTTCAGGGCCCAGCTAAACTGCTTCCCATTCTGCAAAGCCTGCCATACCCCAGGATGSCTAAAACCCAGCATTCTGACAGCATTTTGTACAAACTCTTATTCAGAACTGATCATATGCTAATATAACTGCTTTTATCCATTCAGTTATTCTTAACGTAGCCTCTGGCACATAGGATGAATTTAATAAATGCTTACTATCTAAATGGACTGAGAACCCCTGATAGGAAACTTCACTTTCAGACGACCCATAATAAAGTCACAGGTAGAACCAAAGAGAAAGGCTTGAAAATCTGGCTCAAATGCTGAMATCCATCTGTTCTTCCTCGTTCTCGTTTTCTCTATAGCTTCTCAAGACTAAAAGTCCTAGTCCCTGAAGGTGGTCAGATGCTGGAATTACCAAAGCAACCTGCAGCAATCCTTATGGATAATTACTGTGATGCTCTGGCCTCCAAATCCAACAGCTCTCCAGCTGGGTGAATGAGCTGTGGAGAGCAGTTCTTACCATATGGGAAACTTGCTGATACGCAAGTTACTACTCTTCACTACCTCTACCAGCAGACACCACATCATGCCATCCCAGAGTAGTATACATAGGGTCCACCACACCTTGGGACTGGCATTCTCTGGCAGCACACATCTGCCTATCAACAGACACATCAAAAACAGTAAGTACTAGTAAGAGGCTGCAGCAGGTCTGGAGATGTGGGATTCCAACCAGAGTGGAGGATGGAGAAGCAAAAGAAACATTCTTTCTTTAAAAATTTATTACAATTGAAATTATTAAATAGAACCAAGGATGTCATTCTTTCYGAATGAGAAACTGAGTAGATAGTCAAAAGTACAGATGTACATGTGTCTATAATTCTAGAACTAATAGCTAAGAAAGCCAAGAAGTGATGTGGCTAAAATGAAAGCAAATCTATGTTTTGTTTGTTTTTGGCCCAAATCAAAAATAACTCAGGAGTAGAGATGTAATAACTATTTCAAAATAACTGCATATTAAGAGCAAAATCCTAATACAGCTAAGCACTACCATATTTTAAAGTACAATAAAGAAAGTCATGGAGTAAAATATAAAAAAATTACAAATGTCATTCATATTGCCATTATATTATAAAAMTATTATAAATTCTTAAGACAGTGAAACACAGGTGGGGGGAAAAAGAAKCAAGTTAAAGGGAATTTTGTGGAGGGTATAAAAACATAGTTAAGACAGGGATCAAAAAACTCCCTTAGTCATAGCTCCTCCACCCCACTAGCCCATTTTCATCCTCCCACCTATAAACAGTCAAATGATGTGTAAAAAGAGGAAGAAGTCAGAATCAAGGAAGTAAAATCCAGTGGTGGAACTCAAAGAGTGTTTCTTCATAAAACCCAAGAAAACCAAAGCCTAAGAAATTWTTTATGCCAGGGATTTTATGCTCTCTGAGAGAAAAGACATTCAAGTTTTACAACATGGAACAWTTCAGAAACAACAGTAGGCATCTTGATCAACTAGACAGCCACCCATATAGACGCAGGTCACAGGCCAGCCTCAGRAGTCAACCTTAACAAATGGCATCAATGGTCAGTCCTGAGGAGTTATTAAATATAAATTCTAAATACATGGAGTCCTCTATTATCTATCAATGAATCAGAGTTCTACACTCTCAAATGTTCCAMATATCTCAAGCATAATCGCTACATGAATGAAAGCATTAATAAAKTTGCAGGCTGGCTCTGTGGCCCTCCTGCTTCTAGGATCCCTTTTCCTCTTCCAGACCTTCGATTCCTTATGTCATCAGTGCTATCAGGCTCTGTGTCTGTTTTGCCCACTGCTGTATCCACACAGGATGTAACACCACCTGACACAGAGTAGGAGCTCATTTGTTAAACAAATGAATCCCACTGCTATCTGGGAAGCCAGCAAACCAAACCAGAAAACAAGACTCTTTTTAAGAGTTTGGCCAAATTAATACTCAAGGGTGAGGATCTTTTCTCAAAAGCCACCTTTACAATAGCACACTGTGGCAAGAGAGAGTCCCTCTGTCTCTTAGGATCATTTGGCTATACTCTGAACAAAATGGTTATCAGAGAAGGGTCATGCATTAGATGAGACAGTGGCTTCTTTTCTATGTTCTTACCAGTTTTATTTTAGAAGAAAGATTTTCTGGCAGTTTTGTTTTCAGTTGACTTGTTTCCTTGAATGTTGGTGGAAATCCACTCAGGAAAGCCAAATCTTGCATCAGCACTAACCCAGGGACTTCTTTATCTGTTGTCTAAAATAAGGAGGGAAAAAACACAACTCACTGTCCACATCAAGAAGCTGAGTGAAAACTTAAAAAGAGTTCTTACTAATCAAGAGCTTACTGCATTGTACAAACWTCAAAATAGAATGGTGACATTACTTAAATCAACACTCATTAACACTGGTAAGCTGGGCTCAGAGAAAAAGGTTCTCAAAGGAAAAGAGCTTCATTATTCACACTTTTATTCTAGTCTAATGCAAAAAATACAATAGAATTTAAAATGGCATACCAAGTAGCCTCTCCAAACTGTCTGTCTGCTATTTCCTTTAAACACTCCGGCATGGGCATCTTCAACTACAATGAAGAATACAGTAAACAAGCATATTTTTAACAAAAACTTAACTGTTATCTGGCAGGACATTGTGTAAAGCATTGAGAGCTATTAAAGGAGCATAATACATCATCTCAAAAACAAAGCAGTTAGGAAAGACAAAATTAACACATTCAGCAAAGGAGGAACAATGAAAGTTGGTGTACAATTAAACATTAAATTTTCATTACCTAGCCATTCACACAGGCAGCAGAAATGTGGACTGAGTTTTGGAAGTAATCAAATTTAAACTGGATCTTCAGTTGGGGTTGTAGCTGAGTGGTAGAWTGYTTGYCTAGCATGAGCAAGGCCCTGGATTCAATCCCCAGCACCACAAAGAAGGAACATCTCCCTCAAAACAAGGATGAAAATTGTATCTCAGCTGGGCACAGTGGTGCATGCCTRTAATCCCAGCAGCTTGGGAGGCTGAGGCAAGAGGATCAGAAGTTCAAAGTCAGCATCAGCAACTTAACAAGGCCCTAAGCAACTTAGTAAGACCCTGTCTTAAAATGAAAAAAAAAATTTTAAAAGCAGGGGAAGGTGGCAGGCTGGAGACGTGGCTCAGTGGTTAAGTGCCCCTGAGTTCAATCCTGGTATCAAAAAAAAAAAGAAAGAAAATTGGATCTCAAAGAAGGAAATGACAGGATGACAGAAATCACAGATATACGAGCAAACATGGATACATTTGAGAAAAAAGAGAACTGCTCAACTAGAGTAAAATATTTGGCAACTTATGTACCAGCAAGCAAGGGTAACCAAAGGGACCCTTGAATACCAGGTGGTGCATCATTTATCTGAACAGCAGGAAACCACTAGATCCTTTAGCTCCKTAAGAGGAGAATTTTCTCATGATGAGTTTCTAAAATTCAATTTGAATASAGCAGATTCCATTGGGGTGAGGATAACATAGTCCGACTAGGAGAGGTTTCTAAAGTAATGGGCACAAGTGAATCAGCAAATTTGCTGTTGATACTCAGGAATCATGGGAAATGGAAGAGTGGTCAGAAGGCTCTGAATCTGACCCCCAAGATGGGGAAAGAAAGTAAGTTCTGCAAATTATAGCCTAGCAAGACAGATGTCAATCCTAGAAAAGTCTCCAGTGAGTCCCTGGAAAAAGAAGCTTTRAAATACACTGACTTTAAAGGAAGTACTGGGCATTAAAAGCATTCCTTCGCTGAGAATGAATTTATCAGATACATCTCTCTCCCTCTCTCCAAGGTTATAGTGGGTGCTACACTGGTTGATCAGATTCCTAACAGTATCTGTATGTAAGCTCAGTATCTGTATGTAAGCTCAGCAGACCTGCAATAGTATTCTCAAGCAAACTTCATAGATACAACAGATATTCAGGCTGGACCCTGAACTGGGTAGATCATAACATAAATAATACCACCTGAAGGACGTGAATTCTGAGTTCATAACCATCAAGGTTCTTCCTTGAAGAATGATAGATCAAGGTTCTGGAAGATATGAGAGGTGTGTCTGTCAAATGTGTGAATTTACACAAAGCTGACAGAGACAATTATCCTGGATAACAGAATCAGGATTCCTCCAATTCTTGACTRCTTAGAGCAATGAATCAAATCTAGCAAAATAAAATCTCCTACAAACAAAGTAAGATCTAGACATGGCATCAAAAACCAACTATGCAAACATAAATATAAATATGTATTTRAGCATTAGCATATAACTTTTTTAAAGAGACTTGGGAGTTTTAGTTGATAGTTCATGATGTGGCCCTACTGAATTTCCATTAYATTTTTGTGCTTGTAAACAGAAGTAAAGCACTTAGACTCCTGTCACCAACTCATCAGGAAACCCTGTGAGACTGACCTTAAAAATGTCCAGAATCAGAACTGAGGATGTAGCTCTGTGGTAAGGTGCYTGCCTAGCAAGTGTGAGGCCTTGGGCTCACCCCCGGGCACTGTAAGAATAGAATAGAGTAGTGTAGAATAGAAATAAATAAATAATTCAGGAATCTAAAGCCAAACTCTTCTCAGCTGTATCACACCACCCTGATCTAACCACTTTCTCTCTTTCCTGAATCATTACAATTTTTTCCTCTCCTCAATGTATTTTCACCACAGCAATAAAAATAAAAAGATCAAACTGATCTTTCTGGAATATAARTTAGATTACGTTATTTGTCTACCCCAAATCCTCCAATGATCCTCTATTACACTCTGAGCTAAATAAAACCAAACTCCTCAATGTAGCTATGAGGGTCTGCATTCTTTACCTCCCCCCACGCTCCCATTACTTCTCTATGCTTATCTCTGTCCACTCCTCTCCAARCACACTGGCCTCCTTACTTTACTCTTCAAACAGGCCAGACACATTCCTGCCTCAGGACCTTTGTACTAGTTTTCCACTTATCCAGATCACTCTTGCTGCAAATGTTCATTTTGCTGGCTCTCTTATCTTCATGTTTTCATTGAAAAATCATCTTTTCAGTGATGTCTGCCCCTACCACCCAATTTGAAATTACCATCCCATATCCTCTGTCTGATGCTTCCTCTATCTTACTCCATTTCTCTCTGCAATATTTATCTTATGTGGACTACATAATCTACTCATTTGTTGGGAGTAAAYTCGATAAGGGCAGAGACTTTCATTCATCTGTTCACTGTAGCACCTTCAGCACAGAGGACAGTACCCAGCACATAGCAGGGAYTTAGTAACAAGCTCTTGCTGAATTCATGGTCCTGCTTTCCTTGTACAAATTGAGCCMTATGAAATGGAAGTAGTTTGGAAATGCCAGTTTAGTCCAGAGGTAATATGAAYTGCCCTGGAAGAAATCATTTCCTATGTATCAAAGGGTATAAGCTTGCCTGGGAAAACCACTCCACTGAGATGACCTGGATCCAGACTTCTGGGCTGGAATATGTGATTGCTRAAGCACAAAGGAGTTCAGCGACATATCTACAGTGTGAAAGGGGACAGTCATGTGCTTGGRAAGTTAAAATTTTCCTTCCAAACTAAAAATAACTTGTGCACCAGGAAGCCAGACTTCATTAAACATCATTCAGAATACAAACTGGTGAGTGGTAACATTTTGGCTCAATGAAGAAATTATACAAGAATACCATAAACTCCCGGGCAATCAAAAAACAAATTAGGAGTTAGATTATAAGTACTACWGGACACAGACAAGTAAAAATGAAGTCATTGTGAATGTTCTAGTCCAGGAGCTCCATGGAGGCAGCAGAACTTGAGATGGGCCAAGAGAGGAACTAGGTAGGGAGGTGTGGATGCACAGAGGCCCAGMAACTCCTAGTGAGAGGACTCTGACAGCTAGTGATGCACAGAGAGGGGGATCAAAGGCATAGTCAAGGAAATGAAAGCTGAATCCTGAACACCTGGAGGAGATTATACCATGTGAAAACCAAATTTAATTACTAAAGCATTTTCTTCACAAAAAGAGGAAAGTGGTAAGTGGAGGATTTTCACATTTATCTGATAATCATGTGCTAGACAGAGAGRAACTTCCCAGGCAGACAGGGTGCTAGAAGTCTATCACTGGAATCTGAGAAGGAATGCAGACCAGGGTAGAGGAAATGAGATAAGTAAGATATGAATCTAAGAATTACTTGCAATTAAAACAAATGATAGGATGAGGTTAATTATTAGTTATGGAGGTAAAAAGTAGAAAAGGGGCAAAGATGGTTCCAAAGATTTAGACTGGGAGTACGACACGGACAGAAGCAGAGATAGAGAACTAGACTAAGTGTTGCAGGCCTGGGCTTGGCAGTCCAGCGATCAGGTGGGAGGACAGGTTCTGGACATCTAAAGATGTGGTGCAGTTTTTTTCAGAGTTACAATTTTATGAAGGCACTCATYGTCTTCGTGAGGGCTCAGCCTTCATGTCTAATCACCTACCAAAGCTTCTACCTCCTAATAACATCACACTGAGGCTCAGGACTTCAATATGTGAATTCTGGAAGAAACACAAACATTTTGCCCATAATACCTATGTAACCAGATGTTTCAGAATATAAACTATGAATGCTCCAGGTATGTTCTGCCAAACTTCAGGAATTAAATAGTGGGGGGTGGGGGGAGAACCCTTCTGGATAACTTAGGGTAAAGAAGATAAGGTAAGGATGAGTACCAGACTGAAGGTCCTCACCAGGCATTCAGCACAAAAAATGGAGAAAGTGGATTTCATGGAATAATAYACAATCCTTTTCTGAGATTAGACATGACATACAAAGCCCATACAATGGCAGTTCCTTGGCTCTTCTTTGTGTGTTTTTAGTTTATCAGACACTTCTCTAAAATTGAATCATTTCCATCTTTAGATATCCAATCATTTCCTTTGGTAGGTGATTAGGACTGAAGGCTGAGCTCTCATGAAAGGGAAGTGCCTTTATACAATTRTAACTCCTGGCATGAAACAGTACCACATCTTTAGATGTCCAGAACCGGTCCTCCAGCCAAGTCCAGGCCTGGCCTTTGTGWATTTTGTCATTCAAACATCAATGACAATAAGATTTTTAAATATCCACAAAAAAGAGCTTACCATCCTTAGTGCTTTCAAAAACAACCACTGAGACATTAGTAGAAGGGTTTTTTGGTTTTGCAATGTTGAATATATCGCTGGCAGAATGAAAAGAAGGATAAAGAGATGGTAGGTCCTTTAAGGTGCTGTTGGCCGGCAGGGGCGGGTCCAGGATGAGCATTGGCACCTTGATGCAGTGCGTCAGCAGACACTCCAACTGCTTCTCACTGCAAGAAAACACCAGCACACTTACAACGACATTCCTGAAATTTAATCAGCTACAAAAAGCTTGTTGGCACGACTAAATTGGGGCATTTTTTCCTACAGCTTATATTTTAAAAATCATTATATTTTAACAAATGAGGAATTTTATCTTAAGAATATAAAAACTTAGTAAGTTAGCAAGTGTGGTATGAAATTAACAAATTGAACTCTAAAGTTTTCAAACTCCTATTATTGAAATAAGATTGCCACCCAAATTTACTAACTCAAAAGCAAACAGATTTACAGCATTTCATTATTATCATTTTAYAGACTATTCAAAATTACAGTGAAGCCCATGATCAGGAACTAGGTAGATCCCGATTAACAGAATGTCATGCTACTGGATATAATTAATCAGTTCCAGTTAGAAAACAAYTGAAGACATTGAATGTAACACTATACTGATGCAAATAAAAGSAAAAGTATGGGGCTAGGGTGTGGCTCAGTAGTAGAGAGCTTGCCAAGYATATGTGAGGCACTGGGTTCGATTCTCAGCACCACAAATAAGTAAATGAATAAAATAAAGGTCCATCAATTTCTAAAAAAGTTTAAAAAAAAGCAAATGTATCATGGTTCTAACATGAATTTACATGAGCTATTTCTATCTGAATATAAGAAATACCTAAAACAAATATATTACTTGAATAAACAAATGGCAAGTAAGATATCTAGAATATTCACAAAGTTAAACAATATATAAAATTGTTCAACCTCCCTTAAAAAAATCAAAGAAATGCAGAAGAAAACAATGAGGAATCACCTTTTGTTTACTCAATTAGCACCCCTCTAAAAATGAGAGYTCAGCATTAGTGTAATACAGTAAGGCCCAATACACATGCTCTACTGAGGCATGCTGGTGTCACCCCACCTGGGAATAGTTCTTGGGAAAGCAATGTGGCAACATATACATATGTTATATATGAAACAGGTGTTCATCTATACTRAAGGGTGAAGCATGAAGATAATGTATCAATGTAAAAATAGCAAATGACTATAACATTTAGAGACAAAGCTACATAATTAACAGGAAGAKATGATTAAACATGGAGGGCACTTAGAATTGTCTTTATAACTTTTTTTTCTAAAGTTTAATGGTTAAATGGAGAAGTGGCAGTTAACAGGAATTTCTGCTASTCAGTAAGTCAGTTAGGTCTGATTCAAATCAAATGTATCTAGCAAGATATACATATCTGATGCTTGTCACTGGGTAAAATCCCCTTTCCAGGCCCTTAAATACATAYAGTTTGACAGTTGTGTAAGATAAGAAAATATATAGTGAACATGTCAATAAAYGATAGATACAAACTTTATCATTGAATTACTGGGTATAAGAATTTAAGAAGGCCAAGACAGGTGAGTAGTACTCTAACCCTTCCAAAAACAATAAGGCTTTAATTGGCTAGAACCCAAATGACCAGAGCTCTCAAGCAGCCTATCCTTCATGGCACTGTTTCCCACCTAATGGATGCATTTRACTTGGGGGTCAAAAACTAGCAGAGAAGGGACTAAATATAATTAGAAATATAAAATATTGTGCATCCTACAAAAACAAGTGAAAATCTGGATATTTCATTTTCAGTCTTACAATTTTTATCAATGCAAAGAAATCAAACTGCTTACCTCTTCTTTGTTGGTTCTGTTGTGTTCTTCCCAAGGATTTCTCTAAAAAAGCAAATATGATTTGTCACATATGCACGGGCTAGTGCTAGTCCCAAATTTGAAAAAACATGGACTTCATAATGTTGATTTTCTTGGTTATACCACTGAGACTACCATACGGGTAGGAAGCATAATAATGGGTAYACCATTTATAATGCCAATAAATTATATGTGCCAATGAAATTTTATCAACAGCACTGTCCCATCCATTGTAACCAAGACAGTTCACATAAAATATAGGCTTTCATATTTTACTAGTAAAACATGAGACCAGGCTATCAGTCATTTTCATGCACCGGGAATATCCAACATGGACAGAATCTGTTGCATTTTAAGGTGCTGATGACCTGTAACTGGACTATACATTTATAAAGAAGTGAGTGGACAGGATCTCAACACACACTCCTGAGGAGTCAGAGGGGAAGTTACATCAGCCAGCACCAGAACCCGAGGGTCTCCAGAAGTCCCTATGCCTTTCCCAGACAAAGCAAGTGAAATGACCAAAGTGACRTATTAAATAAAAAAGTACCAAACTTTCTAATTTCACAGTCCATGTCTTCATAAAAGGAAATATACTTTTGACRGTCTTTTAGATGAAAACAAATCTATAGGACTATTGTACTTTTCAAAGAAAAAAATCTATCAGAACATGAAGTTATTTTTTTTTGCATAATAAATCTTAATTTCATGGAGATATAAATTCTGGGACCCACCTGAGCACAAAAACTAAGGCTCTTTTAGGAGGCTCCCTCACCTTTAGACCCCTGGGAGACCAAGCCATCTCTTCATAAAATGGCCACGGAAGTGACACCAGAATCTGGCAGTAATGGCTAGGCCCTCCTTAGGCACCAAGAACCAAGCAAGGGTCAGGGGATGACTGTCTCGGTCTCATGTTGGTGTGAGTWTCAGAGACAGATCTTTAATGGTGTATGAAAGTCACCTTATCCTCTCAAATGCAGGCTTCCTTGTACTCAAAGGAATGTGTTTTGTTTTGTTAAAATCARTGTTACCTCATTGCTTTCTGTTCCTCCTCCATCTGTTCTCTGACCTGTTGCAGTTCTTTCAGTAGTTCAAGATCTGTGCCATTCACCCAGGTGTAAACCACATCGATTGGCATGGGCAGACAGAGCCTATGGTAAACCCACAAGTCCTCCAGATTAAAAGCATGTTCATTTGACAGTAAGGTATAACAGAGTTTAAACTTAGAGGCTATGAAAAAAAAAATGCAAAAGTAATCTGATTAAGGCATATGATCACAGAACTGCATGACTTCCTAGAGCTGGGGGGGCTAATATTTATCAAAACACCTTCTTTGTGGCTGGGCTATGCAAGAAACTTCATGTGATTACGTYGTCACAACCACCTCATGAGGATGTTGAAATCACTGCCCTTTAAGGTTATTTGGGAGTAGAGAGGGGTGGTCTCAGTTTAGATTAGATAAACTGCTATATTCTCATATAGCAAAGGAAGGAGCTGGGATTCAAATGCAGCCAAACATAGGGAAGAAATAAGAAGCTCAAAGAACAAGACACAAAGTTATCAAACAGGCCCAAGGAAGACCTGGACCAATCACTGCAGCCTTCTTGGGCCCTGATGCCCCAAGCCAGCCCCTCCCCAGCTTCTTCTCCCTGCTCTCTATTTCCTTTGTTTTACTACACTTGGCCTTTCTAAMGCCTTCTGCCAAAAGCACTCTTCCCCTTTCTCTCACTGACTACCAAAAACCTACCCATCTTCTAGGGCCAGGTCTAGACATGCGACTGTGACACAGGAGTTCATATATACACCTGGGTGCTGACATCACTTTGGATGATTCTGGTATTTTCCAAGCAACTAGTACAGTTTGGGTTTTAGTTGTTTGTTTTTTTATTGTTGTTGTTATATTCCTTGCCAAGCAGTACTGAAGCTCACTCTCCTTTTGTCCTCACATCATAGGCAMAGGGTTAGGCTTTTTTGGTTACTCAGTGTACAGCTAATTCTTTCATGGGAAAACAAATGCAATTTAGAGGGTAAATCTTTCAAATTRTGGCAGAAAAAAAAAGGTGAMAATGACTACCACCTTTGGCTTTTAAAAAARTAGGTGAGAGATTAARCAAAAGGAGTGTCTATTATTGAGTACTTAGTATATGCTGGCACTGTTCTAAGTCCTGCAGATTCAGCAATAAATAAAACAAAATCCAAATCTGTTTCTTTATGGGGCTTACATTCTAGAAGAGGGAAGAGAGGTAATAAACTAAATGAACAGATACAAAGTCAGATGTTAAATGTTATRGAAAAAATAAAGCAGGAAATGGGGGATAGAAAATGTGTGTGGAGGTTCAGTTTTAGATAGGAAGATCAAAGATGACCTTGATGAAAGGTGGCATTGCAATCAAGATCTGAAGAAAATGTAGAAGCAAGGTAGTTGGGTTACAAGAAGCAGTCAAAGAAAAGCAATAGTATGTGCAAATGCCCTGWGGCATGTGCATGTCTGGCTTGTTTCAGGAATTGGGAGGGCAGTGCTCCAGGTGCAGATAAAGAAAACAAATGGAAGAGATTAGTTGGAGATAAAAGTCAAAGAGGTAACAGGGAACAGGCTTCCTTAGAAAAAGAGGAACCACTTTATACATTCAACTATGAATATATAACTCTGAATGTTGAGTGTTACCCATTTTTTTGTCAACATTCATCACTACGGAATAGTCTAATCTCCTCCTCGGTATGCACCTAGTGCTCTGGGTATTCCAACTGTTTATCTTTACCCAAACGTAAGAACTCATAAGATCTTGTGCCTATGGACATACTTTTCCCTCTGCCTAGAACAGCCTCTCTAGCATGCTTCTTTTAACCCTAAAGATTGGCAGCAGATAGACATGTTAGGAACATGAAGTTATAYGAACAATTCCATAAAACAGGCCTACTTGCTGGCCCTCTACATCTTTTCTTTCTTTCTTTCTTTTTTAAAGATATTTTTTAGTTGTCAATGACCTTTATTTTATTTATTTACATGCAGTGCTGAGGATCGAACCCAGTACCTCACATAGGCTAGGCAAGCRCTCTACCACTGAGCTACAACCCCAGCCCCATATCTKTTMTTTTAAAAAGCAAATTGCCCAATGCCACCGCTCTGGCTGAAGTCACTAGTCACAACAGTTAGCTGCAGGTCTGTTCTCTGGGAGAAGGAAGGTATATCCAAAGCCTTCTCCACAATAAGAAGAACCCAAGTTTACCTGAAAGGGGACCTTTGTGACCTTTATACAGACCAAATATTCTAACACTCAGCAAAACCATTAATCAAAAGGAAAGCCCACCAACTATAGAATCTGTAAAAACAAGCTCCAGTTACAACTGGTCAGTGCAGGCCAAGGTGACCCAGGGTTATCTTTAGATCTTTAATCTCAATATATTAGTGCCTCCCACCCCTATGGGTTTCATTTGGTACCTAAGATAAAAGGCACTTAAAAATCTGATGCAATCCTACTGTCAGTCAAAAGTGCCCTCTTAGGGAGTAATGCTAGAAACTTCCCAAAGACTTGAGAACAACATTGCTGATATGACCTACTCTTTCCCTTGAGGGTGCTACTTTCCCCTCCCTTCTAATAAACTTTGCTATACTCTACAACRCTTTATGTCTAGCTTGAAATCTCTTGCAAGAACACAAGAGCCTTTAGAAAGACACAATGTGACCTCCGAGTCCCCTCCTCAGTCAAAAACAACCTCCTTTCCCAGTCTCTCCTCTCTCCTTACTGCCCCAAGAGAATTTATTGCATAACATGCAGCTTTCACAATACTTTGCATTAGAAGGAGTCCTTGGCATATTGTGTGTACTATTTTTTATGGATGCATATATATCTTCCAGTAGATAAAGCACCCCTGGGGCAGAAATGGTATCATGCATTGTGTGCTGCTTCATTATTTCCTCTTTCCTACATCTTCGGGCTCTCTCTCCTTACTGTAACAATATGCAAAAGTTTTTCTTGCATTTATCTATATAAATGGTTCCCAAACATTAGTAGGCATAAAAATATGTTGTAAAACATATTKCTAGGCTCCATTCCTACAGTTCTAATTGAATAGGTCTAGAGTGGGGGCTCAGAATTCTCTTTTCTAACAAGTTCCCATGTAACACTGATKCTGCTGTTCTGGGAAATTACACTTTGATAAAACTCAGTTGATTTATATCCAGGCTATATTTCACTTTTCTGCCCACTAAAATGCCAGTTCTATATAAGGTTAATGATTTCATCTTGCTCAGCATCATATGGCCTAGAATAGTGCTTGGTGCATAAGTGGTGTTTAAACAATTTGTTAGATAAATAACTATAATTTATTCCTTCGGTATATACATCAATGTTTCCCATTAAAATAAAAATCTATCTGACTCACAATGCCCATGTGCAAATTATCTAAGGTCATCTCGCTTATAATCTCACTTATAATGGTCTCTGTTCAGACTAAAAATAAATTTTAAAAAAGTGCTTGAATGAYATAGCTTAAAAAGTTAAAGGGGGAGGGGCTGGGCTGGGAACATGGCTCAAGTGGTAGCGCGCTTGSCTAGCATGCGTGAGGCACTGGGTTTGATTCKCAGCACCACATTAAAAAAATAAAATAAAGATTAAAAAAAWMGTTAAAAGGGGATTGCATATTCTGAAGCTTTCCTTATAAAGTAATTATTTTTGCTTTTAATGACTTTTAATAGAATCAAGAGCTACTCATATATGTTCAATTGAGGAAAATAAATATATAATCCATTTATACATTGGCTCTTCTTTCTATTAAGACTGTTCTTACATGGTTGGTTTAATTCTTTGTTGAAACTGAAAACCTACAAGAGATCGTGTGATCTGTTCAAGCTTATGAGTCAGTTGTTTTTCCATCAGACATGAAGGTGGTGAGTCTGAATCTTTCATTCTAACCACAAGACCACTAYCTTGATTCCTAGATGAGAAGGAAGGTTTTAACTCAGCTGAGGTCTAACTCACCAATGACTCAAAACCAAAGCAGTGGTGACAAAAATCTAATRCAATTTTTATTTTAACTATTATTTAGTTTAGGTTAATATTAAARTCACTTACTAGACCCTTTGTTCTTCATTGTATAAAGGAGACAAGAAAACACAGAATTTAAATGGTTGGAAGAGATTTTACATATTTTACATGAAAAAACTGAATCCCAAATGACTCACTATCTCACAATTAGTAGCAGTTGATAATTTATACATTCACTTGTTACTRACTATATAGAGAGAGGGTTTCTTCTTCAATGAAGGCAAATAACATTAAAAAGATATRTACATCTACTAGCAAAAGAATGAAAGATTTTCATAAACATTATGGTATCTTAAAATATATTAGAACATGTGATGTATCTGATCCACTTTCTGTCACTATTAATATTTGGCAATTTTTTGAGCATGCTTACATAAAAATCAAACTGCACTTAAGTGCAATCTAAAATTAGGAGAAATATGTCACACAAAGATTCTCAAAAGTTGTTTAGAAAGAAAACAAGAATATTTGATTAAAACTGCTAAATGCAAAATGTAGATTTTCTTATCTTTTCTTTTYTTTTTGATACCAGGGATTAAACTTGGGCACTCAATCACTGAGCCACATCCCCAGCCCTATTGTTTAATATTTTATTTAGARACAGGATCTCACTGAGTTGCTTAGWGCCTCACTTTTTGCTGAGTCTGGCTTTGAACTCATGATCCTTCTGTCTCAGCCTCCTGAGCTGCTGGGATTACAGGTGTWTGCCATGGCACCCAGCTACTTCATTTATTTTAAAACAAGATGTTTAGATGTTGCTTTGGGTAAGTATATGAAGGAAACCTACACTCACACAGACATGTAGTAGAAAAAGGGYGGGAATATTTCATATATATTTTGGTATTAGTATATATTCTTTTCTGATACAACACAAGTAGTAGCTTTTTAAGTATTAAAGCAATATTCAAATAATAAACTTAAATATTAAAGCAATATGGAACCTGAAACATTAATGAGCTTCTGGTCCTTTTACATTAAAATCCATTGGTCTTTGCTGTATTTTGAAAAGTGTTTTCATGCAAGATTCTGTAACATCATTCCTTGGTTATTTGGGGGGAAAAAAAGAGCTTATTCACTTATGAAGGCCTGCCAAGT